GAGAGAGAGAGAGAGAGAGAGAGAGAGAGAGAGAGAGAGAGAGAGAGAGAGAGAGAGTTTGAATAGGCTTCCTCAAACTTTCTAAGAACAGCAGTGACAACTGACCTTTCAGGAGGGCCACAGAGGTCTGGGTGGGAAGTTGAGCATGCCCACTTTCTGCCTAGAAACTTCCTCAACCCAGAGAATGTGTTACCATGATGGAAGAAGGTATCAGCTAGACTGAACTTTCCCAGAACTTCAAGTTTGTCTTTGTTCTGACCAACACTGAGGAAATCAGCAACATTTAAAAATCATCTCTTTCCATAGGCTCCCAAATTGTGCCATGTTCGTTGTCACACTACTAACTTTTCAAATTGTGGTAATGGGAAGACTGGGTGAAAGGTGAATGCATAAAACTTGTGCAATGGTAATGGCACCTAGTGCTTTGACCTAGTTCATGCTGAAGATTTTTTTTTATTGTTTGAAATGTTCATACATGATATGTGTTAGTGCCAAATCCATGCCCATCTCTCTTCCAATTTCTCCCACATCCCTCATCACTTTTCCCTTTGTGTGCTCTATTTTAAACTACTAAGTTCCACTCAGTATTGCTAGAATATACATTGGTACAAGGCCACCTACTGGAGTATGCTTAGCCTCTCAGAGACCACATTCCCAAAGAAAATGGGCCCTCCTTCCCCAGGATCAGCCAGTAATTTCCAATAGCTCCTCAGTCAGGAGTGGGACAATGTACCGAGCTCTCGTTCATGGTAGGATTTTGGCTGGCTTGACTGTGTGCAAGTCTTCTGCATGTAGTCACAGCTGCTGTGACTTCGTGTGTGCACTGACCTTATCACATCAGCAGTCATCCACTACCTCTGCCTCTTACATTCTTCCCATCCCCTCTTCTGTGATAATTCCTGAGCCTTGGGGGAGGGGTGTGACATAAATGTCTTACTGAGAGATGAGGACTCCTCATTCTTTTATTCTGTGCACACTGACCAATTGTCCCTCTGTGTTAACTGCCAGCAACTAAAAGAAGAAACTTCTCTAATGAGAGTCAGAGATGCACTAATCTATGGGTATAAAGACGAGTACTTACAAAGCAATTTATTACTAGGTTGACATAGCAGAATAATAGTATTTTATTCTCCTCTAAGTTTTATGACCTATATGGCCACGGGTACTCTCTTAGGGTCCATGACTGCCTTAGCTGTTTTCCTATTGTGGTGTTAAAACACCATGACCAAGGCAACTTATAAAATAAAGTATTGATTTGGCTCACAGTTTCAGAGGGTTAGAGTGTGCAATGGTAGATCAAAGGAATAACTGAGAGCTTACATCTTGATCCACAATCATGAAGCAGAGAGAGCAAACTCAAATATGGCATGAGTCTTCTAAATTTCAAGCCTGCCCCAAATGACACACTTTCCAGCAAGGCTGCACCTCTTAATCCCCCTCAAACAACTGTGGGAGACTGTGGGAGTCCAACTCCTACCTTCCCCACCTTTTTTAGGGTTCTTAAGAGGAGGAAAGGGGGATAAGAAAATATCAGATATAATGATAGGCCTCGCTGATGAGAAAAAAGACAGAAACACAGAATAGCTTCAGGAGGGCCTGGACCAGTACCCAACAGCCTTTTCCATTTACTCAAAAGGGCTTTTTATAACAATGCCAAGGGGTGGGGCAAAAGACCTCCCCCTTGCTAGGTCAAAAACCACAGCACAGCCAAGTGTAGACTCTTCTAAACACCTACTAACCACGCCCATGGTCAAATCATTCCCTTACACAGCCCTGCGGGGTAAAGCAAGCTCAGATTCTCTGACCCTGAGTAATTTGGGCCTCCACAAACAACCACCACCTGAAGACCAAGTATTCAAACATGTGAGCCTATATGCACCATTCTCATTCAAACCACCACACAACATATCCAGTCATGGGATTTGTGCCCAGTTAAATTAAGACACCAGGCATCAACTCCAAATTGTTTTAAATTTAAATAAGTTAAAAAAAAAAGCCAACTTGGCTTTAAGTCCAATCAGAGGGTTGTTGGTTACTACATAATATTTGTTTCACTAATACACAAATAGCCATATCTTGCCAGGCCAGTCATCATTATAGCTCCCAGGTTTCACATACAGTTAAGAGTGTGCATTACTTTTCTTCCCTGGTAACATGCATAGGGTGTTCCAGCTGTCTGAATCCTATCCAGTAGGAATGAAATGTCCTGGTTGTACCAGCTTGATCGCCCCACATTCTATCACTGAAGCATGTGATATCTGCAGCAATAGTTTTACCATCAAGTTCTGAATGGCAACCAAAAGCAATGTCAATATCTTATAATGCTTGGAAGAGGGTATACAGGACCCCACTGATAAACAACCAGAAAAGAAATAAGCCATGCCTGGCAGCAGGCTTTTTATTTGATAGCATATGGTGTGTAGGAGATGCAATATCCTTAGGGTAAAACCATTTAATCTCCTTTTTATATGTGTGCTTATATATATTTTGGAAGTGTCTTTAGTAGTAGATTTCTATATGGCATTTTCAAATGTCTTAGTGTTACTGATCCTTCCCCATGCTACCTCATCCTACTCTATCTTCCCATCCTCCACACTATTTAACCCTTCCTAGTTCACTATTCTGCCTTTACACTTAATCTGCACACTAGCCCCTCTTCCTTAAATCTGCCCTTCCCATGGTCACTTACTAGTTTCCTGACTTCTGAAGTTACTCCAATTTAACATAGTCATCTAAATATTTAAAGCTAACATCCACATAAGAAAGATAATATGAGGTATTTGTCTTTCAGAATCTGGATTACTTAGGATGAATATTTCTAGCTCTGTCTATCTGAAAATTTCATAATTTCATTTTTTAACACTGGAATAATAGCTCATTGTATAAACACACAGCATTTTTTTTATTCATTAGTTGCTGGACATCTAGACTGCTTTTCTTCCCTGGCTATTATGAATAGAGGATGTATGGATGTATGGATGAGCAGGTCATTTGTGTAGTAGGGTCCTTTGGGTATAAACCCAAGGGTGGTATAGCTGGATGGTGTGGTGGATCTATTTTTCCCATTTTTTTTTGCAAAACCTCCACGCTGATGTCCACAGTGGTTGTGTCAGATTGTACTCACAACAACAGTGTTTCTATTTCCTCCATCCAGGCCAGTATTGGTTGTCATTGTGTTTTATTTTGCTTATCTCTGGATATTCTGGCTGCAGTCCACTGGAAAAATATTTTTAAATCTGGGTGGAAGTTGGAGAAG